AGATAGTGAAGCGTTTTCATGGAAAAAAATCAATAATTAGAGCAAAATCAAACTAAATTACACTGATTTTGAAGGGATTTAGGGATCTAGATGAAAATGGATCAGCAATCTGGCTTGGTTCTCCAACTAAGTCGGAGAAAATCGCGCAGTATGTTCAGCTTCGATCATCTGGGGAAAAAATCATCACATCCATTTTCACCAAAATTTCAAAAACATAAAAACTGTAGGGACATCTGAATGCAGAACAGCTAAAAACCGAATGCCAGAATCTCAGCCCCCGAAAGATCGGTATCGGCAACGTACAGCGCTGAAAACGCTACGGAAAATAAGCGCATCAGAGACTCTAATTTATTGCCTTCTTCTACAGGAAAATTGTAAATGAAAATTTTTTTGAAGATCCAAGAAGAGATAGGCTCAGAGTTTAACGATTTGAGATTACATCAACAAGCTCGCGTAGAGCTCTCATAGTTTGATGGTATAATATCCGTCATCATAGCCGTAAAATCAACTATTTCTCCCACTTTTGAATGGAAAGCGACAAAAGTAAAGAAGTTTCAGAGATCAAAAGGAGAAAAAATTTCCTTCAGCGTCGCCTCAGAAAATAGAGGTTGGAGAACAGATCAAGGATTTTGCTTTCGCCGATGGTACGGCCAATTCTCGGTGAAAATGCCAGAGAATAACTCGTAAAATTCAAACATGACCAGAATGGAAGAAGCGGCGGCGACGGTGACAGCGGCGGCAGCGGCGGCAGCGGCGGCAGCGGCGGTTGAGGAAGGAAGGAAAAGGGTTGCTAAATGGGAGGAGGGATGATTGATTATAAATAGCGGAGGGTGACGAAACCCTACTGTCCTGGGGATGGCGAAACTACAATTGGGCCCTATTGTACTCTTAACTGTCAAGCCCTTCCGGTAAGGTTCTCAAATTTAAATTTGTTGGTCCTCGTAGTTTTTTTGGAAGCGGAGATTCTACGTATGGGCCAGAGGCCCTAAACATCCATTTCTTGGTCCAACTTAAGTCCACCTAATTTATTTAGTTGTGCCGCTCTTGATACATTTCATAGAAAAAGAACTGTTTGGTTGGGCCAGAATCGAAGGTTGACGCGGTATAAAATTTTAGATGGAAGATTTTGAATTTAAATATTAAAACAGGAAAGAATAAAAGTGAAAAGCCATTTCTCTAATATATAGTCTATGTACCAAAAATGTACAGTGGATTTGGCATTGATCTGCTTTGTAAGAGAGTCACAATAAAATCAATTTTATTCTTATAACATAAAGTATGTCCTGTCTTTGTTTTAATCATTTTTCAGTCTCCCAATTCGTACGTATTCAATGAAGTCTTTTTTTTGTTTTTTTAATTTTTGTTGCATAATAGAAGGCAATCATCTGCAACTTGAATTCAAGATTTTTCATTTAAAAAAAAAAAACAATCACTAAATAATTTAGGTTAATAACATGTATTAAATAAAGTTGTTTCCTTTACTTTTACAAGGGGAAAAAGAATAAAATCAAAAGCAGATAGTCGTCAGATCCTTTTCTTGTTTCTTTTATCAAGTCCTCCTCTCCTTCTTTACTTGTTCATTTCCAGTTTCCGAATTAATTCCTTGCTTTTCAGCTTAATGACTAACTTCTTTGCTAAGTTGCCGAGCTTAATTAGCATAGAATTTATACCCTCCTTGCAGAGGATAGGAATTCTAGAGTTCTTTGCTGCATTTTAAACTCTACTTTTCTTGTCAAAGAGGTGTGGTATTTTGGGTGATTATAAAAACTCATATCGCTTGCCTGCATGTTTCTGCTTTATGTTCTTAAGCTCCCTAAAATCGCTTACAAGATTTACCCTAAAGATCTCAGGAAAAAAAAAAAAGAAAAAGCCAACTAAAATACATTTTCATTGCTTTCTCAATTCTCAGGCATTGAAAAAACCAATCTCAAGTCTGAGCCGGCAGGTATTTTTTACTTTTCCTTTGGTTAAGAATATGTTTTTAAGTATTTACTTCTAAGATTGCAGTTGTTTTCTTCAAAGTTAGAAACTTCCAAAAGCCGAAATTTACAATTCCATATTTTCATTGCTTGATAGTATATAAGAAGTTGTAGCATGTCTAGTATTGGCGAATTAGGAAGTTAAATCTATATCCTATCATGAAAGAAAAAGAAAAACCTGTTAGCTTTGAATGAAGAAAATGGAGAGAAAAAGTTGAGAGTGAAGAGCTGAAGAGTTGGGGATCTGTGTGTAAATTAGACATCTCTACTTTTCCCTAAATTAAGCATCCGTGTCTGTGTGTCCTTGTATGAGTTCAAGAGACTTGTATCGAATCCAGTCGCAGAAGCAAACATAACATCAATAAAAGCATAAACTGGAACACAACAAAAACAGTACCAGTCTAAAACTCTAAATTCCGTAGTAAGCTGGCTCAAGGATCACCGTTTGATTCCCTTGGCCTTTGATTCTTCTGTAATTCTATGAAAAGTTGAAACTTTATCGTCATGGCTTTGTTCAACCTCCATCAAATTCCGTTATGGACAAGAAATTTCTTTCTCTGATGATGGCTTCTTCCATTTTTTCCATTTTCTTTTTTTTTTTCTTTGTCTTTTTGGAAGCTAGTTGCAGAGTTCGTGCTAACCACCGTAGCTGATTAGATGGCGGCTGATCTTATCCTTGGTCCTGTCGTTGATGCCACTGTATCCAGGGTGATTGTTGCTGCTTCAGGGCAGATCAATCTAATTTGGGGATGGAAGGCCGATCTGAAAAGGTTCCGCCTCATAATGAAGATGCTCGGAGACGTGTTGCAAGATGCAGATGAAAAGCACGTCACTGGCCACCCTCGTCTTCAAGCTTGGCTTGAGGAGCTTCGAGCTGTTGCTGATGAGGCTGACGATATGCTGGAAGACGTCGCCTACCATAATCTGAGGCGTCGGGTAGCATTTCCGAAATCATTTTGGAAGAAGGTCAGCTACTTGTTTACTCCTTCTAATCATCATCCCCTGGTGTTTCGCCTTAGGATGGCTAACAAAGTTAGGAACCTGAATATACACCTTGCTGATATTTGTGAATGGGCCACTCGTTTGGGGCTGCAATACAAATTTGCAAACACTAGTGTCCCCATGCCTATAGTAAACCAACAGACCCACTCTTTTCTATCTTCTATTGATCCATCACTACAAGTTATTGGAAGAGATGAAGATGTCCATCAAATAGTTAGCATGTTAACTGATGATGACTCTAGTAATGGGGAAGCTCTCTCTGTCATTTCTATATGGGGTATGCCAGGCCTGGGGAAAACTACTTTAGCCAAAGCAGTGTATGCAACTGATAAAATACAAAACTATTTTGGCAAAAATAAAATGTGGGTTTTTGTGTCTGTAAATTTTGATGTCCAGAAGATTTTAGGGGAAATGTTGGAGTCTCTCACCAAGGCTCCTACTACAATAGAAAATAGAGATACTTTGCTTCAGAAAATAAAAGAAGAATTGGAGAAAGAGGAGAAAAGCTATTTTTTGATTCTAGATGACGTGTGGAATGAGAACAGTAGAAAATGGGATGAATTAAGAAATTGTTTGTTGTCAATAAGTAAAAAGCCAAGAAATAGAGTTGTTGTGACAACTCGAAGTAAAAAAGTTGCATTAACAATGGGAACACTTTCCAAACACATGTATCCTCTTAAGCAACTAGAAGATAATGAATGTTGGCGTATAATCAAGGGAAAAGCATTCGGAAAGTGTACTATACCTTTAGGATTGGAAGGAATTGGGGAGAGAATTGGGGCCAAATGTGGAGGTTCCCCCTTAGTTGCAGCTGTTATAGGCGGGACTTTGTGCAATAAAAGGGATACAAATGAGTGGTTGTCAATTGAAAGGAAGATGGACGCATTGAGTTCACTTGAGGATCAGGATAGTAGCATCCTGCATACCTTACAATTGAGTTTTGATCAATTGCCAAAACTAGCTTTGAAGCAGTGTTTTGCGTTCTGTTCTATCTTCCCCAGGGCTTTTGTCATGAAAAGGGATGTTTTAGTTCAGCTTTGGATGGCTGAAGGATATCTCCAACCATCTAAGGGAAATTCTATGGAGGATATGGGTACCAAATACTTTAACGACTTATTATCATATTCTTTGTTTCAAGAGGAAGAAAGAGATGATTTTGGGAATGTTGAGTCTTGTAAGCTACATGATTTAATTTATGATCTTGCAGAATCAGTTTCAAGATTTGACATGGTGATTTTTATCAGAGGATCTGGGACCAATGTTTCTGGTGCTGGGTCTAATGTTCCAATTTATGATGAGGTTCAACATTTGAATCTCACTCATGGTGTGCCAACCAACTTGGGAGATGTAGCTCCAAAATTATGCACTTTGTTTTCAAGTAATGGTTTTCCTTGCAGAATGGGAACAACAAAATTCAAAAGATTACGAGTGCTCAATTTTTGTGATGCTTCTGATGCAAAACAATTGCCAACATGTTTTGACAACTCAAAGAGCTTGAGATACTTGGACATATCAAGAACTGAAATGGAAGAACTACCCAAATTCGTCACCAAGCTGTACAATTTGCAGACATTTAGATTCATGGACTGCACATCTCTTAAAATGCCGCCAAGAGGAATAGGAGATTTAATCAACTTGAGGCATATTTATTTCAATGATGAAGAGCGTATGCCTGCAAACCTTGGGAGACTAACCAACCTGCAAACATTGCCATTGTTTTTTGTAGGTACAACAAAGGGACGTAAAATTGAAGAATTGGGAAGCTTAAGAGGACTCAAAGGAAGACTAGAGATCTGTAAGCTTGATCTTGTTAAAGGAAAATCAGAAGCGGAGAAAGCTAAATTACATGAGAAGGCAGTTGATGTGTTGGAATTATGTTGGAGCGAAGGAGGCAGTCGCGAGAACTTAGATGAAGATGTCTTGGAAGGCCTCACGCCTCACTCAAATATAAGAATATTAAGTACTGAAGGCTATGGAGGTAGAAACTTGGCATCATGGATGTCGAAAAGCAGTGAAGAATTGTTCTTACTCAATAATTTGGTGGATCTGAAGATTAGAAGTTGCCGCATGCTATACAGAATTTCAGGTATCAGTTGGTTTTCATCTCTTCAGCGGCTTTCTGTTGAGTGGTGTGATGAATTAACTAGCTTGGGTGATGGTGAGGAAGCAGTGCTTACATCAATGTCCCTCAAAAAATTATCCATATATGGGTGTGATAAGTTAGAAAGATTTTTAGTTAATGGATTCTCATCCCTGGAGGAACTCAACATTGAGCATTGCAAGGCGATAAAGAGCATAGGAGGTAGCCTATCGAGTTCCACGTGTCTGAAACAGTTATATCTACAAAGCTGTCCTAAATTGGAGTCTATTCCAAGTCTAGAAGGACTTGTCTCTCTAAAAATAATAACTATTCAGTATTGTGATGGATTTAAGCGTCTACCGAGTGGGCTCTCATCCTGCGCTGCTCTGGAGGAATTGGAGATGTGGAGTTGCTTTAATTTGGTTTCTATTCCTGAAGAATTAAAGCAGTTACGGTCTCTTGTTAAGTTGATTTTTTGGAATTGTCCAAAATTAAGGCGCTTCCCAGAGGAAATCTTGGACGGCCTTGTCAGCTTGAAGAGATTAGAGCTTGGCCCTTTCTTAGAAGAGCTGGAGGAATTCCCAAATTTGAGTTCCATCCACGCCTCTCTTGAAGAGTTGATTCTATACGGATGGAAAAAACTAACTCACCTCCCACAAATTCAACACCTCACCGCTCTAAAGGACTTGAGGATATACGACTTCAGTGGAATGGAATCTTTACCAGACTGGTTTAACAACTTGTCCTCCCTTCATCGAGTCGAAATTTGGAGCTGCCCAGACAAGTTAAAGGAAAAATGCACCAAGGGAAGCGGTCCTGACTGGCATAAGATTTCTCACGTTCCATACATCAGAATAGATGGGGAGTTCATCCAATTCCAATCCAAATACTGAAGCAAAGAGGTTTGTGTTTCTTTTTTCTCACAACTGCACTTGTACGAATTCCCAACACCGAAAAGTAAAATCTCTCTCCTCATCCTCCATCAATTAACTTGATTGATGCTGCTCCCTCCATTGCTATTGGGTGCTGCCAATTAATGTTATCCCATCAAAATTATTTATTCTTTCTCTCAAACCATACATAAATTTTTGTTTTCTGTTTTCTTACTTTTGATTCATTTTCTTATATTGCATGTAGATGGAATGATGATTTCTAGAATTCAGAACTGCACTCCTATAAGCTTCAACGTTGAGGTAATTAATTCATCACTCTTCACTGATCAAATTAACTTTTCTTATACATTTGATGAGTGCGAGGGACAAGCAGACTTTATATTTGATTCATTCTTATATCGCATGTAGCAAAATCTTACTGAATAATCAATGAGTTAATGGAAACAAGATTTCTAGAATTCAGAATTTAACCTTGAGTCAAGGATGTT